TTAAACCAACTGTGTCGATAAAACATTCAAATAGTTGGAATACTTTGCGTAAAGTCTTTCCTAACGCATGTTTAATTTAGTACTAGAAATTCTTGCGTAGAAATCTTAGGCGTGTTTCTCGCACACTTTGTATCTAGTGTTGCTAGATATATACATTATGGATTCCCAATGGCATTATTCACATAATTAATTAGTTAATTAGTAAACTTTTATAATTTTCCCTCTAGAATCTGAAAGGACTTCTTATTACTTACTAATATTATAAATGCGAAAGTTTAGATGAATGGATGTTTCATAAACAGTTCAACGGATCTCGCTGATAGTTGAAATAGAGATACAGTCTATGAGAACACATAGAGTAATAATTAAGTTTTGATTTTTTAAATTCTGCGCGGAAAGTTTTGAGGCAACACTTGAAAATATTGAATACGAAATAATGTGAATGATGTGGAATAAGGTTCTATATGAAGTTATAGTTGCCAGTAAATTTGTCGTAAGTGCAGTCATTTGTAAACTGTCAAAAACGTGAGTAAATGTTTGCGGCAAAGGATTTAAAATTCGTCCCTCTCTGTGGCTGAGTGCATTGCATTGACCCCGTCCAGTCGTACAAGCTGACCCCATTCCTGCAGCCTTATTCGTCGCCTCGCAGTTGCAATGATTGCTCGAGGATTTCATGTTATAACTAACACTTAGCACTTTCCGTGTTTGTTTTGTTTTTGTTACTTACACCTTCAAAAAGGTTCGGACCTTTTTTTTAGTCATCATTTACATGGAACTTCCTTCACCTTTTATCTGTTTAAAATACTCTCATTTACAGTTATGAGTCTTCAATCATAGGTACTCGTGTTTTAAAACAAAATTATTAACCCAACAGAGACCTTAATATTCTAGACTTCTAATGATGACGACTTTAATTTATGACTTGAGAGATTAGAGCGCAAAAGTGTTTTTGACCGTAAAAATATTTAACATTGTAACTTACCGTTAACATATCCGGTATGTACTAAGAACGAGACGTTAAATTCAAACGGATAAGCTTGTATTGAGTCATAGTTATTTGTGACCACAGACGGTTTTTGTTACTAACTCGATGGTCATCTACATACGTGGGCGAATAGCTGCAAATTTGTCGTTTTAATTTGACCGCTGTAACGTTCCGTTATCATAATTGATGTAACGATTATTTTAAAAAGAAATCATTATATTTCTCTTATTTAGATTAATAATACTAATTAAAGAATAATTAGGTATCTAGAGATTACGATTGTAAATAACTGAGTCTATACTTAAGAAGGTAAACGACTACACTCTATACAATTAGTTAATACTAGCTTTTGCCCGCTGCTCCGATTAAGTGAAAAAAAAATATAAAAGTAGCCTATGTGTTCTTTTAGACTCCTCTACATCTATTTCATTCTTCATCGAGAACAGTTCAGCAGGCTACAAACTAATAAACATTCATCCATCTAAATTTTCCCATTTTTATTATTAATAAGATCTGAATGTATTGTAACTCCATTTTAATTAAAACCGTACATGCAGAAACATGTCTTTATCATTTTATTTGGAGTAAACGAGGTCATTAGTAACAACTACGTCGACCTCGCGACACATTGATATGTACCTTTTTTCGTAAAAATGCGTAAAAGCGGTTTATTGTTTACCTAAAGCTATCTAACCAGTATTAAAAATGAGAAATTTTAGATGAGTGTAGAATGTGTAGTAAGATTTCTTTAAACGGCTCAATAGATCTCTTATTTTTGGCTTATATGTAAAACAATGTCTGGAAGAACACACAGGTCACTTTTTTAATTTCACGCGGGCAGAGCTCCTGCGACAGCTAGTGTTAAATAACTTAAGGCACATTATCGTTTAAAATGTAGTTAAAGAAGAATAATAAAATCAAGAAAATGGATGATGTAGATTTTACGAAATTTTCTCATAAAACGAAATACGAGTTGTTGATATTATTTTAGTGACCTAGAATAAAGTTCAATGACTTATCATTTAGTAGCAGGTGGTTTGGTGACCGTTAAAACAGGATACTAGAAACTACTTCCTCTGTCTTCGAACACAAATTAGATAACGCGGTGGAATAGTAATTTAGTGACCGAATTGTTGGCGCGGCGAAGTCGCCATATCGGGTAGGGTTGATTTATTAGTGCAAAGTACGTAGTTGATTTACTTTAAATAGTTAGACGACTCCAAGTATTGTATAACAAAAGTTATTTTACGATATCAAAGCAACTATAAAGCCAGTTACACACCTTTCAGTTTTAAGAACACAGCTTTAACACAGTAATTTTTTTATTTAAAAAAAGAGAAAATCCTTAGGTCTATGTCGTCAGACATGGGAGCTACATGTCCAATGTGTTCAATTAAAATATAAATGTACTGTAATGAAGCGCTAAGGTGCTTGTACGAAAACGCCACCATGTAAGACAGGGTGATGTTATATCCCCGAAACTCTTCACCGCGGCGTTGGAAGATGTTTTCAAAGTCCTCAACTGGAAAGGACTTGGCATCAATATCAACGGCGATCACCTGCGCTTTGCCGATGACATTGTAGTCATGGCTGAGACCATGGAGGGACTCGGACTCGCTTCATTAGGCAGCATTGTTGTTAAACTGTACAACTGTGTAGCCGGCTTAAAGAATGAGGATTATTTGTAACGATGAACTCAGACCTATGTAATGTGGATCCAGCGATGGTTTCATGCCAAGATAGATAGACACCAAAATACAGCAAAACCATTTTACTTGCTTTGTTGTCTCTGTTTTTATCTAGGAGAAAGGATGAGTGGATTTGCTGTTACAATATTTAGTAGAAGCGTGAAATGAAATTCCATCCTTATGCGTATGTATTTTTAACGTCTGTTGAGTCGAACACTGAGTCACTGTTGAATCCTTGGTGGATTGCGTCATCCGTATCCGAGGCGGGTTTCGACTGTCTGTAACATCTGTCACCGTAAAATCGTCTATACCGCCTGTTCGTAATTTGTCTAGTGTCGTAGACAGCACTAATTTGAGTCGAAAAAAAATCACAAATTATGGTAAAGTCATCATCATTCATCCGCGATTGTTGTGCAAAATGTGTCGAAATGTAACACGTCAATATGTGACTAATGGTTGGTTTACCAACTACTTTTAACGATTCGCTTCCGAATTACGTAAATTAAGTTCTACTCTGTTAAAATCAATAGATAATGATGAAATAAATAAATTCAGCAACCCAGCATGTATTCGTTTGATATTGAAATTTTAAGTCTTGGCAATATTCTGGGAAAATAACAAAAGAACAGCTTACACAAATTGCCAGTGACATACACAAAACGACTCACTTCAATTCTAATTAATAAGCTGAGTCGGCGACGCTGGCCAATTGATAAAGTTATTTACGGCTTGTTTCGAGAATTACGAATAAAGTGTAACAAATAACGTTTATTTAACTGAATGTTTCTTTAATTTGGTGACATTAACTTATTGAAGCAATTTTTAATATAGACAGTGTCCCTTACAATATATAACTTATAATAATTTGTAATGCATGTAAACTATCGCACCACTGTTTAGTCTCGCTTTGATTCCTACGAGCTTATATATAACAGTTAAATTGACTGCGAAAAAATTGATAATCGCACAATAGTTGTGCGATAGTTTAGGTGTGCGCCCGCTCTTATGTTAACAATTTTATTTTTACCTATAGAAATATAATATGGCTGCTTATTATTTAAAAATAAATAACTAACTTGTATTTATGCTTTAACATAGATTTGTACTTTAAATTGTAAAACTGAAGGAAATAATACTATAAAAAGTAACTGAAGTCAGCGAAGAAAAACATAGTAGTGAAGACGACAGTATATGTTTAATTCTAAAATTAACATTCTATCTAAAATTATCGTGTATCTAAAATTATATGAAGGTATTAGATTTAAAAGTAACTTGTGTAAGCTTTAGGGCCTGTCCGACCAAATTGTAAATTGTCTGATAATCGAACTTGAAAATATGTGGATGGAAATTTCGGATTTTGTTCCCTTATCTGACAGTAACGGTATTTTTAAGCTATCGGAGCCTCCATCAGTCAGTGGTGGAACAGGTGCTTAGTCCTAAAACTTTTAAAATGGAAAACTTTCTCCGTTAAATCTCATTTAAACTAATTTTAAAATAACGCAGTTATCCAAGACTATATCTTACTTGTATACAGCTAGATTAGTCTCGGCTAGCAACTATTTATAATTCATTTTATTAAAAAAGGTACACAAAGGCCCTAAAGTGAAAGTTTGACATAATAGACCGCACTTAAATTTAATTATAATTTATTTAATAAATAATTTAACACACGCATGGATCCTTCATTGACAGGAAGTATTGCTTACCTACTTTACACTTCGTGCAAATATGAACTGGACAAGATTTTTTCATAGTTAGAAATGTAGAGTAACAAGAAATTTAGAAAGAATTTTTGGTAAACATTTTTGCATACCTGACTAGTATTTATTTTTATCGAATTAGTATCGTTTCTAAAGCTGTTTTCGTATCTTTTGATACGGTTCATTTTGTTTCTTTGTATTAGTGAGGTTATGATTTATAATGTTATGTCGACACATTCGCTAAACTGCTCGTATGCCCTTGCGTTATCAGTGCGACCTTGCACACTGTGCGACTATGTTGCACTGAAATGTTCAATAATACTGCAAAGTGTTTCATATTTTGTTTTTTATTGCATTTGTTCTATACGTGATTCATCCATTTCTTACAAATACTATTGCCTGTTAAAACTTAGGAAATTCCTCAACAATGTATCATCATGGTCACTCTAACTTGCCCTCTTTTGATGAACACTCGAGCTACACGATATCCTTGACATTGTCCACGCTGCCCGACTTTATAACAGGAAGCGTAGACTCGCCCTATTTATTTTTACAATAAAATAACATGTTCTTATACTAATTTAATGTAAACTTTCGTTTTAACACCTGTCTATTTTATGGTTACAGATCAACAGCAAATACAGCGAGGAGTTGGCTGAGGAGTGTTTAGAATGGGTGCGGCAGATTACAGGCGAGCCCCAGAACACGTCCGGAGATATGGATAACTTCTTCGAAGTGCTTAAAGATGGAACTCTTTTGTGCAAGTAAGTATACCCTTTTAACTTAATATACTGCAAGTATGGCATTTGCGATCCGAATATTGAAAACTTATGTTTACTGTGTTTATTATACCTTAGTTGTTCATTTAAAAATTATCCTTCCTAATCGATATTCGCTTCCTTGTATTCGCGAGCCATCCATTAGGGACGGCACCCTTTTCTGTACAATTTATTAAGGGGTGTGGACAAGGAGTGCCTTTGCGTGCATACAACCTTTTAGCACCACTGTTTATGAAACCATAAAATCAAGCATTTCTTTACTAGGAGTTTTACCGTTCTTTATGTCACAGCAGTTAAGCAATAACAGTAAACATGATGTCACGATAGTTCAAGAATGAAAAAATGATTGACACCAGTTATTTTCATCCATAAATGAAATAAACAGTCGGTAATTTATAGCACCTCATTTCTGGATATTGTACAGGAGTAATTCAACTGAATTTTGTAACGTTTTCCATCAAAATATAAAATCAAACGCAACATTTGGAACACAAACCTTACGTACCTTTCACGTCTATTGTACATGTTCATTTCTATTTCCAGATTGGTGAACAACATCAAGCCTGGCATGGTGAAGAAGGTGAACGAATCAAAGATGGCCTTCAAATGCATGGAGAACATCAACGCGTTCCTGGAAGCAGCGCGCCAGCTCGGCGTGCCCGCGCAGGAGACCTTCCAGACTGTCGACCTGTGGGAGAGACAGAATTTGAACTCTGTCGTCATCTGTCTGCAATCCCTCGGGAGAAAAGTAAGTGCCATTTAGATACAAAAATCTGCACAAAATGTTATTGGATATATGCATTGTAGTGTACTAACTCGCGACTCCGTCCTCCTGGAATTAAAAAAATAATTAAAGACATGGCCTTGGTTGCTCACTGATAACATAGCTTTTTAATGGTGTTAGAACTTTCTATATCGGTCTTGTAGTTTGTGTAAGTTATTTCATTACATACAAAAATCTAAAAATACGTTTTTTTTTCTCTTTATACTATTGGTACACTTTGGCATAAAGATTGTCACTCTCCTAATAAACTTATTTAAATATTAGAAACCACAAAGCAGGGACAAAATTGCAATCGTTCGTATATCTTCTTGTTAGCCTAACCTCTCTGCTACTGGATATAAGGCTCTTATTCGTGTGCGTATATATGCGTTTATATTGTCAAAAAAAAACTATAAACAGAACTACCAAAACGGTCAAATAAGGTACAATAATAACCATATCAAATCTAAACATGTTTTACATAAGTATTAATATTACGTTAAAAACGCCGTTAGGCTGCCGGTTTGTATACGGATGTAGGTAATGCGCGTTGGAAACCTTGAACAGAGGGCAAAGACCGCAAACCTATTAACCGTATTAAGCGAATAGAACCTTGAACTTGTGAAAACATTACTAGTCAAGCATTCCAATCCAATTACATGTTTCTGGTAGAGACCAGAATGATCTTCGCACGTAGTTAGAACTAATGATGGAAGTGAAAACGTAGGTGTGGTGTAAGATTGGACACCACACCGACGATTTAGTTTTCCACAGTAAGGCAGGCACCACGGACCTTCAGTTGGCTCCATCCTCACATAAATCTTTCTTCCTCATTTATACGTTTTCGATATTAAGACGTCGTTTTCGGATGATTATAATTTCGTTGGGTATTTTCGCTAAAGCCACGAAACCAAAAATTACTAGTGAAAATCAGACTTCCATTTCACGTTCTTCTACACCTTCCTCTTGTTTAAACTTCCGTAGATTTGCAAGGTTTTATTTGTTTGAATAAAATAGAATTAAGGAGTGTAATAAGCTTAGTGGATTTATGTAATGTATGCGTGTTTATGCAATTAATAAATATAGTAATACCGTTTCAATGTTAACCCATACTGTGTCCGTGACTTTGTTTAGTTCACGATCAAAGCCATCTTCGTCAATCCAAAGCCTTTAAGTCGTGTAATAATATTTTAGCTATTTTTTTTGCTTGTGTTTTCTTGTAATGATAATTGCTAATCATTTTTTCCAGGCGCATAACTTCGGAAAGCCGTCGATAGGACCGAAGGAAGCTGAGAAGAACGTGCGTAACTTCACGGAGGAGCAGTTGAGAGCTGGGCAGGGCGTCATCTCGCTACAATACGGCTCCAATAAAGGCGCCACCCAGAGCGGTATCAACTTCGGCAACACGAGACACATGTAAACGTGCCTTTGTATTGCGGAACGAATCTAGAAATATAATGTGACCTTTACTTCGTCAAATTAGCATTTCGATTTACAGACTGTTCATTTTTACATGAGATTTTATGTTCATAATTTATTTTGAATTTAATAATTGAAATGTTTGAAGTACTTAAATGTTTTTATCTAGGTTAAATATAATTCATAACAGATTGTTTAAATAGAAAAGGAATAGTCTCAGTTTATTTTAGCTTTTTTTATCGTTTTTGTTGATTTTTCATCATTAAATCTCATGGCAAAATGGAGTAATTATAGTTCTGTACTTATTTACGTAGGTAATAAAGTCAATAAAAATAAGGGTATGAAGAACCAATATTGTTAAGTCTTTTGAATCTCTATTTAATTATTGATTGTAATTTTCCAAAATTGTTGAGTCATTCCAGATGTTCAATTCATTCCATATTTGAAATTTATTTTTGTAAATCTTTTTTTTTTAATAATGACATAAGACGTATGTGTTCTTTAACTTACAGTTAGTTTTAAGACAGCCAGCATTTTTTTAGTAATAGCAGAAATAATGTTGCGAGAACTCGCGTTTTTTTTTAATTGTGCCAATTTTGATCACACACAAATATGATATAGTCGATGTTAGTACAGTACAATTATTATTACTATTTAATTATTCTATAAATACTATTGTGCCTTCAAACTCCTTAGGAGCTTTGAAATTGTTCTTTAAAAAGTAACTAACAAAATAATGTTTCACTTCGAAGTCAGGGATACCTTGATATTCTTATTTATTAATATTAAAAATTTAATATTTCATTCCATGTTATGTGTTAGTACATACTGTGATTAACGATTTTATAAAGAATACATCTTTATTCTTGTATTTGTATTCCACGACGCGTAACACTTAAAGTTGTAAGTTTCATAGAATACACTGTATCTTTATGAAAGTACGTAGAATAAAATACAATTTAAAAACATGAAACCTTGTTTTTTTTTAATTACAAGTAAAAAACTCAGAATACGTCATCTAACTCATTTTCCGGGGAAATAATAAGATAATGTTTTAGCGATGTGTAAAGTGGCAGTGTAAATGTACACTATTAAATTTGTGAAAATAAACCTGGAATAAGCATTCGAATCCATGGCTCGTAAATCTAAAAAGCAAGTTATTACAGAGAATATTTTCGTGTAATGTTTAGCATTGAAATGAGTTCTATGTTTCAACCAATATGCATTGACAGGCGTGTACAAATCAACTCTGAACCAGTTAAAAGTATCGGCACTCAACCTAGAATAGTTCATTTGCGGCTCAACAACTAGTTAACTAGAAGCTAACAAGCTACCCAGTGAGTCAATCACGCAAATCACACCTCTATTTCCCTATTCTACGTCTATTTCCAATACAAAACATTGTGTATAAAAATATTACAAAAGTTATTCAAAATAATTTTAACAAATACATTTATAAAATGCGCAATGACCTGTTGTTTTGCTAAGTCTCGCATGATATAGATAGGAGGTACCCCCAACGATACGCTTATCGTGAGTCCAGACTCCGGACCTCAAGATAACCTCAGACTCAAAGGAATAATACAAAATCTTTTAATAACTACCGGATAGTAATAAGTTGTTTGCCTTTAATATATTGTAAACTTATTTCTGCGCGTCATTCTAATAATTAAACAAATATAATGTAATCTGCGTAACTTTATAGAACAAGTTTGGCAAATAAATGAATAGTATTAAGAATCCCGAATAGCTATATTCGCAAATCTGAGTAATGGATCAGTTAATTAATGGATTAAGTCCGGAACAAATAATCTATAGAGTTTGAATGACTTGTAGTCATGTAAATTCTAGTCTTTTAGTAATCAGAATAATATTGTACAAAGTAAAAAATGTAGAAACAAATTGATGTTCTGAGAGCCAAAGTTTCTAATTATTTTTTAACTTAAAATTAATTTAATTTACATACGTTTGGTTATGGAGAGGACATGGGGGAAAATATTAGGAGCATTTTTAAGAGGCAAGGGATTAATCTAGAATTTTTAAAATCAATTTTTATTTAACTGAAAATTTATGAAACCATGAACGCAGCTTATCTCAACTTGCCAAAAAAAATGTTTTGATAACAAATGTCAGGTGAAAACTGTCAAAACAGTGGAAATGTTTATAATGAAATAAACATTTTAAAATCATACGTTTTCTTGAAGTTTCATAAGTCTTTCAGTAATAACTTTTTTTTTTAAAACGACTATAAAATATTAAACGAAAATCTTTTATCTTATTTGTGTCGCGCAGAAAAACAACCTTGAAGTCGCTAATAATTTGGGTCGCCAAAGCTAAAATGTAGAATAAAAACAATATTATTTAGTTTAAAAGCGATGTTGCAGTCGTCGGGGGCGTTTTCGAATGGATGGGCGATAGATACAACAGCGCCCGTTGACCTCAACAACTCGAATGATAACGTAAGTATAGCCCCCTGCGGACTTGTTTGTCTTCGATAAAGACCTCCTTTCTGACCTTATCATACGTCGTAGTCTTGTACATTATTAAGACTCCTGCAACTATCTCCAATATGTCATCAATGTTCATTAAAATATATAAATAAGACTTTAATCAATATGGATGTCAACTTTATACTCTTTGGTAAAGACTTTTTACTTTTACTGTCAGTATGGAAGCTTACTGTGAGGTATGTGTACATATTTTGTCTCTGAAATGTGAATACTAAATAGTTAACTTTTATCTAAAAATGATTTAGCCTTTAATTCCTATAAGATATATATTTTTAAGCCACTAGTTTGATAATTAAATTGTTAATGAATTGAATTGTTTAATGCCATAAAACAACTGATGAACATAACAGAAATAATTACCATTGATATCTTAACAGTGGCAACTCTTTTCTTCAAATGAACTGGCATGGCATATCTAGCTGCGTTATTGGGATGTCGTCTCAACGCCTCGCTCAACTTCCTTCCCCCTTCCATTCACTCCCTCAAAAAAAAAAAAAATGAAATGATCCGATAGTTTTTCTTATATCCTATTTTATTTCTTACTAATATTATAAATGTGAAAGTTTAGATGGTTGGCAGTTTGTTAAAGTTTGTAGCCTAAATTGCTGAAAACGGGTCTTGATGAAATTTGGCATAGATATAAAGGATGGATATAAAGAATGGCAGTCGAAAGAAAATTTACAAATCACTTATCATTTTCAGTATATTATTTAAAATTTGAATTGCACAGTAATCTGTTGCAAATTATAAAATATCTTTTCAAGCACAAATTAAATGTATTTCTAAAACTTCAACATTATTATAATAATTAGTTGATCATGACTTATATAACAAAACAAGGAAATGATTGCCTACATCTGTACAAGTATTTCATTATCTGTTAGAAGTATATAATCATTCAAATATGTTTGCCAATAATAGCTTTTGGCCTTGTTTTTTTTATGTACAGACTTCTTAAATATTATATAACCATGAAGGTATATGTTCCATTAATTTTTATGTATCCTATTACATATTTACTCTGACTTATAACATAAATGTGTAAGCTTGGATGGATGGATGCTTCTTACTATATCTATATTTCTAAATATATTTAACAGATCTTGATGAAATTTGCCACAGATGTAAACATAGTCTGAAAGAACACATACGCGACTTAATAATATTTTTATTTTTAATTTCACACTATTACAGTCAAAAGCCACTTTATTATACAAAAAACTCTCTCTAACAAAAAGATATTACAAATACAGAAAAAGAAGATACACATTCTAATAATAGACAGTCTTTTTCTGATCAAAGTTACCGAAAGATGCGCTTTGTAATAACAAAAATGTCATATTTTTTACGGTTTTAAAACTAAAATAAAACTCAAGACACACCCACAAACTTATCTGCTGTTTACCAAAATGTTGCATCTGCGCAATTGCTTACGTAGTTGTATATTAATCTTGAAATATGTTTGCATCAGGCAAAGATAATACTCATATTAGATATTTATTACTTGATAATAGTCATTAAGAATTCCTCAAACAAATACTATTCTGACGTACTTTACAAACAAAAGCAGTCTCAATAATGTGACAACTATTCTAGAATATTTAGAAACTATTGTCTTATAAACTCTTATTAGCATTTTGAATGTTAACTATGCCACAGTATAATTTATATTTGATCAATTTATTGTTGTACTGCTGTAACATACATCCAAATTGTTTTTATTACTGACACCTGTGTCGTGGTAGTGTTTTGTTAATTTCCAACCATTGTTTTAACAATCCATTGCTAGTATAACGTTAAAGCTATCATGTACAACGAAAACGTTTTTTTTATGTTAGTTTCTGTTAAAAAATAGTTCATACCAATACTATAAATACGAAAGTTGGGATGGATGTTTGTTAGAATTTGTAGTCTTAACGGCTGAACCGATTTCGATGAAATTTATAATCAATAGTCTGGAAGAACACATAGGCTACTCATTTTTTTTTAATTTCACGCGTACGGAGTCGCGTGTGAAAGCTAGTGGTCAATAATCAATAACTTATCCATCTATCATTGGTTTAATCGTCTTTTGTTTTTATTGAACAAATTTATTCGCGTCATTGTTTTCGACGTGAGTGGACATTCTGTTTATTTCACACTGTATCAATGCGGCGCGGCGTGCCCGTTACCCCCTAGTTAGCACAAACTGTGATAGTGCTATCAGTCGGGGTTGACGAGCGTGACCCCAGCCCGGCTCACCCGCGGTCCTCTGATAACGTTCTCCTATAAATTACCTAACAATATCACTATCGTACCATCCGCTATACTCAGTCTGTGTTCTGCCGTTCGACCGTCTACACGTGTCAACATTCCATTTAAAGTTTAATTCTCCTATTAAACATTCATTAGTATTCCCTTCTTCCTCATGGCTAAATTCATCGACTTCAGTGATTTTCTCTCCCCGTATTGATTCTGTTGTGTTTGTGTGTACTAAAGACTATTAGGAAGCCTCAGTGTTTTGTGGCTCAAGTTTCTTTAAAATTCCCTCTGGTAGCTGTATACATGCATCAATATTCGAACGAGCTCATCCAAAAAATGACAATTACCCTAATGTTCCGCATCAACCCTATTTACTATTCGGATTATTCGGATACGATCTAAGATCGCATTTTAAATTATATCAAACAAAATCCTACCTTTGTCATTGGTTGTACCAATTCGAGTACTACAAGTTTGGGGTTTATCCAAAAGATATTACCTGATCTTCAATCTAGTTGCAAGGAATCGAAAGAATGGATATCGTGGCAAATGTAAGTTCTATTATGTTAAGTAATGTTTATCAAATGTCTATTGAGTTTTGTTACGATAGTGAGTCGAGGTCAAAGTTTATCATAATTGCCAAACACCATGTAACAATGTTAATTTTGTTCGCAGTACCACCCTGTATTCAAGGCGTTCCTTGCTGGTTCGTTTTCGGGAACATTCAGTACGATATTGTTTCAACCGTTGGACCTGGTGAAAACGAGATTGCAAAACTCCAGTCAGAATGTTGTTGCGGCGACTGTCAAGTAAGTGTACGGCTTATCTTTTTCCAATTACAAACTAGATGGCGGTTTTCTTAAACATAGAAAAAAGTGCAGTCTTTATTGAGTGCAAATATGTTAAATCCAAGTTCATCTTGATAACAAGAAAGGCTTTATAAAACTACTTTTTTAATCTGTAATATGTTTAACAGTTTCAGTATAGAGTCAATTAAACTTCTCATATGTAACAAAGTTAATTAACAACATTGTAACCTTATCGTTGTTACTGAGTGAAATTAATCAAAAGACTTTGTTATGTCATTATTAGAAATACAGAACATTTAGTGCGAGAGGCAATTAAATACATGCTCATCTTTATCTTCTAATTTATTTATGCATTCACTATGTGTATCAGACAGATAATGCAGAACACACGTGTTATATTTAGTTCAAATATTACTACTTTTCCCTTTGCCTTTTACCGTTAATTTTTTTTTTAAATACTGAACGATGTTAATTAAATATTTCGATATTTCCGTTAATTATGAGTGTGGAGGTACACCGGTAGAGGTAGACCTAGAGAGAAATGGATGGATTGCGTGAAAGATGACTTGATCACGAAGGGAGTGATGACTGAGATGACGGATGATAGAGTTATTTAAGGGGGTGAAAACCCGATGCTCCGACTCGGGAGTAGGATAAGGTAGGGGAGATAATGATGATCTACGTTTTCTAAGAATTTCTAAAATGTTTTTGAAATATTGTTTATTACATATTGTAGGCCTTCGTACCTCGTTCGGGTATCCTAGTAGCCTATTCTTCTATTCAGCCATCGAAGTACAAGAAATAATGTTAAAAATATTATTTTCTCTATTCTAGCAGCCGAATCCAGCCCGGCATGATAACAATATTCGCTAACATCGTGCGTCAAGAACATATCGTTGGTCTATGGCGTGGCATGGTACCCTCCGTGGCGCGCTGCGTGCCAGGAGTTGGATTGTACTTCTCCTCCCTCCACTGGCTTAAATCTAAACTGGGTAAAGAAAACCTGGGACCAATGGAGGCGGTCTCTCTTGGGGTCATCGCCAGGACTATGAGTGGAGTTGCGTTGATTCCCATCACTGTTATTAAGACCAGGTAAGGTTTCTTTGAGACAATTTAAGGCAATTCTTTTTCTTAATTTGACTTATCTAAAATCTTAATTGTATTTTTTAACAGGTATGAATCGGGTGTGTATAAATATAACAGTTTGAGCGGTGCGTTAAGGGACATCTACAGGGCAGAGGGTGTTCGTGGATTGGTGTGCGGCTTGGGCCCAACTTTAGCAAGGGACGCGCCTTTCTCCGGGTTGTATCTGATGTTCTACACACAAACTAAACAAGGAATACCTAAAGGTAGGTTTACATTATAATTTGGGTACAATTACTATACACAAGTATTAGGTTCTAGTCCTATCAAGGGCCCATCTATAGGTGTTTAAGATTGGGTTTAATTTGCGGTCGCCCGTCTCTCACTAGGTTAGGGTTAGAAATTATTATCTAGTATTAGGGCCCTGTCCACAATTCTTTTAAATTGTCAGATTACCATCCAACGTATAAAATATGTGGAGGAAATATCGGATGTTGGTACTCTACCTGACAGTGACGTTACTTTTAAGCTATCTGAGCCTCTATCAGCCAGTGGTGGAACAGGCTTTTAGTGCTTTATAAAAAAAAACCTAACAGACTTTATGACAGAATTTCAATTTTCGAAAAATGTTTACTCTGTGTAAATGTTGCTATGCATAATCGTTTAGTTTTAATTGCGAGTAATTTGAAGTCGATATGCGCGTTACATTTTTTAATTATCAGACGTATATTTAGTTTGTAGTTTTTTCTTCGCTCCATATAGCCATGTTTAATTACACAGATAAGAAATATCGTAATTAAGATTGCGTATCTCGAAGCAATTTAAAGATGAAGTTTTGAGACGTGACTATTAACTTTATATGCAACTCCGTTAAACAAATAGGTCAAGTATTTTTTTACTTTTTAGGGTCTTCAAATAGACTAGTGTAACCTTTTAAGATTGGTTCTTTATTCCAAGAAAACTAAATTTAACGACCGAGCCTGTTTCTTGCATCTCTATTTAGTTGATAGTCTTTGCAACCATAGAGTTTTTTTTTTTAATTTGTGTCATTGTCATAAATTATGCTTATTCAAAATGTATTTATATGTTTTGATAAAAAAAAACTCACGTTTAAAATTTGCAGAGTTATCTAATTTGTTGAACCGAATAGCGTTTGATAGTTGTGCTTATTTCCGGATATTTTTTTTGTCAAAGAGTAAACCCTTTGTAACGTAATCTATAAACGTGGTTACTCATGTATAATGTTATCTAAACTAACATTATTCCTGACCCGTACGGATCGATCTTTAATATAAACAGTGCGAATTAATGTCAACATATCAATTCCGTAGTCGCTTACGTTTCATACCATTACGATTTTCTCATAGACAAGGCGAGGTTAGCACTAAACGTGTTTAACTAATTACGATGCCTATAATACATAGGTATGTTTATACTATTAATTTAGTTTTCTACTGGCTTTAGAAATAATTTTAATGTCCAATTTTAAGGTAGTATTGAAAGCTAAATTCACGCTTTTCATACTTACATTATGCCACAAAATTTACTATGAGCGTGGCGCGACGGGCGAAGCGTGGTACATTGGGTTGAAATCTAGGCTTTTATAGACTTTTTCATCATTTTCATCTATTTTATATATCTATGTAAGCCGAGATTTTAACCCACTGTGCTCTGCTCCGTCACGAGACTTTGGTCTTACAGTCTTGAATTTCTCTACTTAAGGTGTTAAATAAGTGGGAATATTGTTAACAGAATGGCTACAATCTTCAAGCACGGCCAGCGTAGTGCACTTCTCGTGCGGTGTACTTGCCGGCGTTGCTGCCTCCCTCGCTACCAACCCCGCGGACGTCCTCAAGACACACATGCAACTCTACCCTGACAAGTTCCCTAACGCCTTTAGTGCAGCTATGTACATACAACAGGTGAGATGTTCTAACCCACTATATTAAATATACTAATATTAATGCGAAAGCTTAGATGGATGGATGTATGTTTGTAGCCTAAACGACTGAACAGATTTCGATGAAATTTGGCATAGACATAGAGGATGGTCGCAAACGGAGTTGCGGTCGAAAACTAGTGCAATCATAACTATAGAAATTGAGTTTTTACATATGGCAAAATTGACACGACTAGAACGATCAAACTTCATGTCAAATCCGTGTTTGTCAAATTATTTGACAGCTTTATCGATTTTTTTTTTAAATTTGTAAGAACGGCAATTGAAATAGACAATTGCTTTTGGTTTTTGTTAAAATTACTCTTTTATAATAAAACTTATAAATCAATTAGACTTAGTTTAATATCAAGAACTGAAATTATAATCTTAACTTGTTTTAAAACAGACTGAGATCTTATTAGTTTAATGTTTGCGTGCTATTTTTCACCTCAGAATAATTAAGATACTATGTAATTGCGTGTAAAATGTATTCAACCGGTTTTAAACTATAACATCTTTATTAATAGCTGTCATATAAATAACTAACCTAAAAATGGCTATACAATTAAACTAGTTTACACCTACTAATTAGGAATTACTAATGGATTCGACAAAATTGCTATATAAGACTTTAGTTACTATTTGAGGTTATAAAGTATTTAACATTACTCTGCAAACAAAACCTATGCTTTACGTCTTATCGAAGAAAATGATCTTATTTAGTGTGCGAAGTAACACCGCTGGCATGACCAATTTGATGTAACTTTGGTAGAGTTCAGATCCAGAATTAAATCAAAATTAAATAACTTGTTATTATTTAGCTATAATAATGTTATGTCTCAGGTTGTATTTACCTATAGGTGATAAACCCCGACCTCACGGTACGGGTCCATGATAGTGTACGATGATTAATTGTTGGTAAAAAAAATACGAATCACATCGACTTTTGACCCCAAGACACGCGTGGAACGAGTGAATTCATTGCGCAGTATTGTTTCCTTGTTGAATAAATAGCGAAACTTATTGGATTTTACACTGGGATTTCATTAGAATATGCGATATTATCTGTAATTACTTCCTTAGATTGTTTTCGTTTTAATTTTTTATTGTAGTCAAAAGTTAGTGTAGTGTCTGACATATATCACGAATACAGATTATAAAAGCATTTCGACCAATCAGTGGACGTTATTTTTAACGGTTTCTTTTTAAACAGTTGTTTGAATGTTGCTTTGTTATTGTTTCAGACTTACGGTGTTCAAGGTTACTTCAAGGGCGCGGTGCCGAGGATGCTACGAAGGACTTTGATGGCAGCGATGGCTTGGACGGTGTTTGAACAAATAACTCGATCTATTGGCTTAAAATGACCTTTTTTGATGCTAATCGTGATGAAAAGAGCTTAGCAGAATGATATAGTTCCTTAGAAGTTAAAGCAAGATGTAAATGGTTTTGTTAGCATAGTTTTTGTTATAAGAAACAAAGTTTCTCTGTCCTGTTATATTTAGCAATTTAATTGTGCCATTATATTATTTTTTTTACACCATTTCTTTTAATTTCACTTCACTGTTCTATGAGAATTCTCTCGTAGCTATTTTTCTGTCTTGTAACAAACTGTGAAACAAACAAACATATTGTCGTCTCTCTTATTCTATATGAAAAGAAAAGGGATAGCAATATGTTTGTCAGGATGTTTCGATAATTGAATGAAATGGTGTTCCTATATATTTTGTGAAGTTCCTTACCACTCTGTCACTTGGTTTATTATGTTAATCATTTTTTACTAAATGTATGCTCAATGGGAATACTTTTATTTTGTACTAACATATTTTATTTATAGTCATTTTAACCAATAGGTTGAGTTAATGTTACAAAAAAATATTAACATATTAAAATAAGGTGCAATTTTTTTTTTGTTATATTTTTATCATTAAAAAATATTTAAACATAAAATGTTGTTTTAATTGACATGTATGCAGTAACAAAACTATACACTATGTACATAAAATAACAAAATTCACCTAAAATATGTTACATAAATTCTAAACCTTCATATTTTATGTCTTCAATAAATGAATCTTGTAATAAAACTTTTCCGTCAGTTTTAAATGCAGTTATGTATGTAGCGGTTTTTCCTTCAAACTCTGTTGTCTTCAAAGCAACGATAACCTCATCTTTTGATTCAGGTATAAACTTGAACGAAGAGAAACCATGCTTCGGTTGATGTTTAGTTATCTGAAAATTCACGATAAGATAAAAAAGTCTGAAGTTTAAAATATGACAAATTGATAACAACTTTTCCAAGTCATTGCGGCATAATTAAAGAAACTTTAATAACAGATAAAAATAAATCTTATCGAAAATCAGTTGCATCATTAATGAAACGAAAGTATAATAATTATGCAAGATTAAGAAAAAATTACAAAAATAACATTTAGAATATATGAAGTGTACAGTCAGCTGCAAAAATATGCATACAATTAAAAGCGTCAATAACTAGTATTGTCGCTCGGATTCGAAAACATATAAGCATGTATCCATCCATTTGCATATGACTAAGATATGCAAATTTATTTTTGAAACTTAGCCTTTAGAAGTTTTTAAATTTTTGTTAGTGTATTTGCAGCTGACTGTACTTTTAACTCTAGAATATTCAACTTCGGCTAAGGTTGTTGACTTTTGACAATGTTGATTAGTTTATCAACACATTTATTTTAATTGAACTTTTGTGTAATACTAATTAAAATTTAATTACCTATACGGAATTTAGAAAATTACATCATGTACCTAGTTAAGACATCTAAAATTTATGTCTATTTGGTGCACTAAATGGTGTCTTTCCAAGTAATTATTACATTACACTCAGTCAAACACTTCAAATCAACCTGCATTTCTAAATTCAACGAAATCAAAAAAAATTTATGACTGATGCCAATAAATCCTGCACCCTTCTTAAATTATTTAAATGGCTTGACTCATGCATTATCTGTTTAGTGGTACAAACTAGTTTCATACCCTTTAAGGGTCTTCATCAACTTGAGTACTAAAAACAACTGTATAATTACCATTCTAGCTTCAATAGTTTTAAAACTGCTGTCAGCGGTTATCAGATAATTACAACCCATCACTTCATCTTTAGTCTCATTGTATGGCTCATGACTACACCTCCGAGGTAGGAAATGCCACTTCCTTTTAACGGGTGACCAGACTGCGGACTCATGAATCATGTAACCTGGCCATTGGATACCTAGAGAATTTCTTACAGCTTTGTATTGATTAACCCAACTTAAATGTTGCACCTGAAAAATTAATTTCAATACTAATTTATGTTGGAAACTTTTTACAAATGGAATATTTTTTTATTATTATTATTTGTTAAGCTAGCACTTGACCATGATCCCGCCTGAAGGAGGTGACGATGCAGTCGAAAGATGGTAAGCGCTAGCTATATTTACAAATGACACAGTAAATTATAAACATTCACTACTTACTAATATTTCAGTTAATAAAATATTCTAAACTAAAACCTAAATAAAACAGTAACGTTTTTAGTGATTTTTAAAAATGTTACTTTGTTGTATAGGTAAATATCATAATTATCAAGATTAAAGTACCTCTCCATGAATATTGATAGCTTTAACCCACATTGGGTCATACGTCTGGAACTCTCCACTGGCAGTTGTCCACTCCTTGCCCATTGAACCGACATAAAGTATTTCATCTTTGACAGTCGCCCATTCTGATTTGAAACCTTTTTCTACATGACCATTACCATCTGTCAGTATCACCCATGGTACCATTTTATTGTTGACAATCTCAAATACCTGGAATTGAATAATATATAAGTATGTAACACAGATCACAAATCTTTGTAAAGTAATAATCAAAATGGGAACAACCTCCTTATTAAATTTGTGTAAATTGAATTACTTTAAATAGTATGTTTACGAAAGTAACTTTTAAATTTGGTAGCATAGAAACCAATAGTAATTGTTAAAGCTATTTATTGAAAAGACAAGAGTTAACTTACCATGCCTGATCGGTCATCAAAAGTCAGCAATCGTCCATCAAATACAATCAGCTCGGAGAGCTCCATTCCTCTTCCTTTGTGAGAATATGTGGAAGAAAGCAGTATAGCTGGCTGTGAATCCCATTTTACTGTCACAGATTGTTTGACAATATCATATGTCAATAACCCTTTTTTTAAATAGCTATTATAAGTATACTCCTTCGAACTACTCTTCGAATTAGTGTCTAAATCTGCCACCACACCTATTCTGTAACTAACAGTATCACCCAACTTCACTGGCGGTGTGAATGGATACGTTGTATTGTATGACCTTGATATCGTACTCCATTTATGTGTGACGTGAACTTGAGCACTCGTCCACCAATTGTAATAAACTAAAATTAACAAAAATAATCCGACTAGCCCAATGAGAAACACAAATTGTGGTTGTATTCTTACTGCATTGCCGACCCTGTACGTGGCAGGGGTACGAAGAGCCTTGCGCCAGTCACGAAGGGAGCCTTTCATGTTACGATCTTCCAAATCGTAATAGTCATACATAACTCAACAACTAATTCATTATCATTTCAATTACGATAACACACAATTATCAGTAGAAAGGAAGGTTTAATGATCGTATTTTACTAGGACTGAATGGGCAAACTGTGTCAAATGATGATAGGGAAATAATATACAACATTTTGATATTAATCTAAATTATTAAGATTAGAATTTTGTAGACATTTATGACACATGGCAATTTTTTTTAATGTCAAGACGTCATTGTCAAGTTGTCGTGTCATTTCACGTCAAGTAAAGCCACAGACTATCACCAACTCAAGCCTATTCCACAGTGTAAAATAAATAGTCGAAAGTCACAAAAGTGGATTTCTTTTCATTATTAATTTTGGAAACAAGTAGTTACTGAAAATCAACAAAAGACTTACTATATTTCCATTTGTTTTCTTATCTCCTTTGCGAATTATCTTTGTTTTATAATCAGTGACTGTCCTTTTGAATTTGACTGTATAATATAAATATAACCATGTTATTTCTTAAACAATATGCATTATTACAGTAACGTTAATATTATGTTTTTAACATATTTAAGCATCCTTGAGTACAACAAACGTTTGCTATTTATTGCAATCATTATAATTGTACTACAAAAGGGGTCTCAATTTCAATAGTTCATGTTAATTGTACAGGCGAAACATGGTAATACAACACGTTAACTTTCACTGCCGGACGAAATTTAAAAGTGATTATTGCTCTCCTCACGGACATCCTGTGCAAAAAACGTAATAGAAATAAAATTAAATTCGACTGCTGCTAGACTGTCATTTTTCTGTTGGTCGTTTTTGAAATCGTTTTAGCGAGAGTCAAGCGTCCGCTTGAATGAATACTACGTATGTAGACAGTAATAATATTACATAGTACTATTGAATATTCATTAATCAATTACGTTCTTCAATACCATATCTATTACACAAACTGTAATATCCTTTACACTTTATAGAAATTTCAATTTTGTTTTACGATGTTGTGTTTTAATCAATTTTGTTATTATTAGAGCACCAAAATATTAGATTGCGGATTTGCAGATTTCCTAACAATCTCTTTTAGTTTGTTATTATCTATTGTAGTTCATGTTTTCGTTTAGCAGGAATGTCTGTTAAACTGAGCTGTTTTTTCGTAATCACTATTCGTCCAAATAAGGTTCTCCAATTGGGAAAGAGGGAAATGATTGAATTAAAAATATAACAACCTGAAACTTCTTGTATTATTAGTCTTTGGATTTTAAACTAAAAATTCAACTCTATGAACATAGATTAAAAACGTAACCATGTAAACAAATACAACAATAAATTATGCAAGGTTTATTTACCAATTCCCTGTGGTACATCGAGTTCTTCGTCTTTGCTATAGTGCTGATCGGATTTTTCATTTTGTTCTTGTATATGGCTAACACAAATTACGTCCAATATAATGTTAGATACGATATGAGGCAAAAGTAAGTGTGTTCTAATATAACATTTGATAGAAAACTTTCCAACAAAGTTTCTTTTTATTTAATTGATAGTTCATTATTTGTTAATTACATTCAAGTTTTTTTTTATGTTTTAGGTACATGGCTGATGGTACTTGGCTTCTACAAGCATAGAATAATGAAAAAAATAGATGGCAAAATACAGATAATTGTGTAATTTTTTTTCTGATGTAATGTTCTATAGATTAGTTGATAAAAGGTTGCAAATGCGTTTCTCTTAATGGACGGCTCTACGGATTGACAAACGGATGATATTTCCTAATAACACGTCCCCTTTTTCACTTTTCCTAGCCCTTTACAAAAAATTGGGAAGGGAAGAGATGGGATTAAAAGGTGACATGATCAAGAAGGGATTGATGAAAGATGACGGATGATAGAGTTATTTGGAGGACAAAAACCGGCCGACCCTACAGGAGTAGGATAAGTTAGGATTATAAAGTTAAAAGGGGAAGATGAGAATCGCCTCCGGCATGATAAATATTTCCAGGTACCAAAGCATCGCGAGCGATAAATGTAAATGCAAGCCGCCTGAGCCGGCCCAGCGGCCCGTGTGTGTTGACATGGGCTGTATATGGTTCTGCAGACTCATTGGGAGCATCGTCACCATCGCCGTCTGTTACTACTTCGCCTACGCTCTAATATCCGATACCAAGCTTAAGTTTGGACTCTTTGTTCCACCGTAAATCATATAAAATATAAAATATTATTATAAAGAGGAAAGATTTGTATTATTGAAATAAATGGAGGACAAAAACCTGTTGCGCCGACCTTACAGGAATAGGATGAATAGGTAGATAATGTATGTATTGAATTAACTCAAAAACTACTGGGTCGATTTAAATAATCCTTTCACTATTAAAAAGGTATGTTATCAGCGAGTAATAAAAAATAGTACAAAATGTAGTTTAGATTAATTTTAAATTTCACGCAGTCGAAGTCGCTAGCAACAGCTAGTTATTAATAAAGCAATGACAATATCCAAAAAAAGTTTCTTCAAAATTAAGTTGATCTTTTATTCTATGATCCCTTTACGTCACTGTTCCCCTAACGGATCTCACAGGGATTGACAAGGTTGGAAATCAGTATTGTAAATTGACGACAGCGGATACGAACTTATGTCTTTATTGGTTATAAACATATACAAATGAAACACTGCGTTAATTAAATAGAAAATGTTCATCATTTGATAGCAGTATCTGATACATTTCCTCGCATGAAAGTTTTAAAGCCGTTCCACTTGTCAAAGTTAAGTAACTGCTCCAATAAAGCGCTTTGATTTGAAGTAATTAACGTTCGACTATGTTTATGCTTGTAGTTGCCGATAGCCTTAATTTGTGCCTAAGCTTATGAGAAGGCTGCACAGAGTATTGAAGTTTTTTTTATTGTAATATAATTTGCTTCAACTATAGTAGTAATGCTTTTATTCTTTGTTTCTTCGCAGACAGTAAGGAAGCTGTAAACTGAATCCTTTTGCCATTTAAATAAGCTTGATAATTTTTAATTGCTTACTATTTTCGCTTGCTTTATCTATGGTAAAGAAAATATTTGCAAATCGTTAAAGTTTTATAGTCTATAGAGTAGTACAGTATTTGTTTTAATCTAAACTTGAAAGGTCTTTAGAAAATTAAAATCTATTTCGTCTTAATTAATAAGCAAGATCTGAAAGATAAGAACAATACCATTATTATATTTGTAATTGCATGTTAATACTCTATGTTTAAAAAACATTAAAAACGAAAAAATCCAGACAAAATGAAAGTGAGTCCACATCAGACGGGTGCCAAAAACGCCAAACAAAGATGTTATCGGTTTATGTTTTAGTTTTTGCACGGTGTCAATATATGAAATCGTGATTGGCATGTCCATTCATGAATAACGAATTAATCTTTACATGCTCTGGGCATCGATTACTGTTCGGATAAAAGGAAGAATAAATATTGGATTAACTTTTACCAGAAGTCGATCCGCAGTTGTGAAGAACAAATCAATTTAATTTCAATAAGACTGGACTTTAAATCTCTATTAGATGTTGTTTAGAACATTTTAGAATGGCGCGAAGATGTTGACACTTCGGGCACGTAAATTTTTGAGGTTAGAAATGTTTTTCAAAATGTGATTTCGTATTGACCAAAACAAGACCACGTTCATTTTTTTTTGTGGCAATCTAATTGCTTTTAAAAAGATCCTTTGTTTAAAAAGAACGAGATCCTAAGTAAAAAGGGGCGGAAGTCATTGTTTGCGTGAAGGGAGCAAAGCGCTGCGGGAAGAGATAATTTGCATGTTTTATTTTATAGCCCTTTACAGTGTATTTTGAATTTGCCGATCAATATCGGATTTTATAGCAATCACAACATTAACATCTTCATCTAATAAATGCAAAACCTTACCAAACATCTTTTAAAACACTTAAATTAACCGTTATAAGTTTTCTCATTGTTTTAATTCCTTTTCTTAACTGTATATTACTCGTACATTTAACTGTCGAAATTACTTGCTAGCGTTTTGTGATTTAATTTAAATTAGCTTTTTCCGCAACTCCTTTCTCGTGGAATTAAAATAATCGAGTAGCCTGTGTTCTTCCAAACTATCCTCTACATCTATACCAAATTTCATAAAAATCCGTTCAGCCGTAGCTTATACGTAACAAACATCCATCCGCACTTTCGCATTTACACTGCCGGCCAAAAGTTTGAGACCACCTTGAAAAAATTACAATATTGAATAAAACTCCAAAAGTTAGTGCTCTACAAATTATTTATTTACCTTATTAAATAGGCAACTTTTTATGTAACATAAAACAATTTAAAAACTACAATATTAGTAAGAGTAAGATTACATAATGCATAGAATTAAACTTTTTACTGATATTAGTAAATAATGCAAAAATGTAATGTACGTAAAAAATGTTTTACTATTATTATTATTATATTAAATTTAAGAGACATCAAACCAAAACTCTACATCATAAAAAACTACAAAACATATATATTTTTCAAATGTATTAAATCGTTTTAAACATATACTATTTGTTCTAATTAATTACAATATAATTAATGGATATGTTTAACTGAATGATATTATGTTCAGTAATTATTGTATTTTCCTTGACTAATTACGTTAGTATCGTGATTATACAAAAAAAATGTTATCAAACAATCTCGCGGGAAGTGGGCTGTGTCTGAGCACGGAGATCGTCCACAGATTTTTATCATAAGTGGAAACTTATTTAAATAATACTTTAAGAAATATAACTATACAAAGATACGGTGTGATAGTTTTATTTGCAAGCTTCGCCCGCGACTCTGTTCGCGTAGAATCAAAACAAGCAAAAAATAAGTAGCCTATGTGATCTTAAAGACAATCCTATACATCTACATGACAAATTTCATCGAGATCCGTTCAGCCGTTTAGGCTACAAACTCTATCAAACATCCATGTTTCTATCTAAATCGCATTTATAATATAAGTAAGAAGTAAGATGCTCGTAAATTTGTCTATAAATAAAAGATAACCTCAATAAATATTATTTCCTCATACATTTAAAAGTCCTGTCAAAATCAATCCAGTCGTTTCGTTTTTACTTTCGTTTTTGCAAAAGTCCTAGTAATTAGAATAGCGTATTAATAAATGAAAATTAAATAACTGTAGAATCCTAATTTCGATACAATTGTGTTTTGTAACTTGCGATAAACAAAAAAAAAACAAGGTTATGTTTTCTTTAAAGTACATTTCACTGTTTAGCGAGAATAAGATATTTGCATTGTTTATTTATATTGCATTTTCTATCATTTTTAATCTTAAATCAGTATCAGGTTTAGCTGAAAAGAAACAGTTTTTATCAGTTTATAGAATGAAGATAATAGATTGGAGATGAATGGAAAAGAAATTTTAAAAGTAAAGTGAAATAAACAAAGATTCTTCTATTTTTATCCCCTTGTAATATTTTTGTAAGATAATTAATTTCTAATATCAAAACTTTTCCTAAACTATTGTAAAAATGGAACGAATTGAAAAGAAAGAACCATCGAATTTATTATGTAAAGTATTTTTAAGACTGATAACACAATACTTTAAAAAAACGTTAAAAACACTTTAAGGGTTTTTTTAATAAAAGCGTATTTTCAATTATGTCTGATGTACTTTTTGCTATTAATTTTTAAAAATATTTATTCTATTTCTTGTTTTTGGCTCTCTCTCAGTGGATTGTGCCAGTGTCAAGTATTTGTGGTTTTCTTCTAATTCTAAAAATGTTGAAGTATTGAATAATCATGGTAGTTTAACTAAGATTATATGGACACTAAATTATTTATAGTATAATGCGTGCGCAGTTAAACGTAAATTGTTTTAATCGCAGGAAGACGCGTCTAATATAAGTAAAGGATCTTATCTCTTTGGATTTATTCTTACTTATATGGAGCAGTAAAATAGATATTAGATCGTTACGCAACACTGTAACAGTTTAACGTAATCAAATGTGACAATGTATTCCGATCTTTAGGTGTTTGGAATGATCTGTTGATCACATGAATTTTAATCACATTGATCTTTATAAATGGGTAGATACAGATTTAAAATGACACCTTTTGTTTTGTTTAAACTTTAAAAAGGAGTAGAAGAAGACTTGTGGGAGTTGAGGGATAGATAAGTAAAGAAAGGATTATATCCAACTCATTTATGACTCAAGGGTATATTCAGCGAGGCAAAGTTATTATCATAAAATACCTCTACTTCACGCCTGTATTCTTTGAGGTCATATCGGACGCATCGGTCCATTCATAAGTGCAACGGTTATCGTCGCTACGTTAATTTTAGCGTATAGGACTGTATACATTTTTATTTATATCTTTTAATTTTATAATTGCCAAGATACAGATTTAAAACTTCAGATTGTTGGGTAAAAAGGAAATTTAAAATTACCGACATCGTTTAGTGTCGCTTCAAGATTTTACCAAAGATTAAAAACTAACTAAAAAGCTGTACCTCGGAGCACCGGGTTTTCGTCCTCCAAATAACTCAATCATACGTCATCTCAGTCATCTCTCCCTGTCATCAATTACCTGATCCTGTCACCTTTCAATCAATCCATCCATCTCTTTTTAGGTCTACCTATACCGGTTTACCACACTTATAACTGACGTTTCCCTTGTTACATGCGATTCATCCCTCCTCATAACATGCCCATACCGTGTTATCATGGTAGTAAAAGGTTAGCCTTTTGCTCCGTAAACTGATTACTGGTTAAAAATATTTACCATAAAGATTTTTTGAGTGTTGGCATTTCAAATATTCATTGTGTTTGTTATCAGACATCTAGTTTTGAAGAATGCTAAATAGTTACTAATTAATAGCAACCGTTAACCGCTATGCACTGGCTATTGCGGAATTCCTTTCTTTATAGCATCTAAGAGTAACAATTACCTTCATAATAAAGTTCTTACTAGTATTAGAATTCACATTATTATGGAGTTTTAAAACTAAATAATTTGTTGATTGTAATTCCTCTAAATGTTAAGTAATTTTGGCTTTATATAGCTTGTTTTTATTAATACCATTTTTACCCTTATTACGTTATCTAGAAGCGTAATGTGATATTGTAAAATTGAAATCATGTGAACATTTTTAAAATCTCAAGAGTCTTGAGATAACTACCGGGCATTTTGGATTCAAGAATATGAAGTAATTGTATGTTAACCTGCAAGTATATTTTAACAGACTGTTTATTGTAGGTTTTTGGATAATCTCGGTGCTTGACTACTTTCTTTCGGTCGTTATGAAACAAGTCACAGCAAAAAAAGCGATTTCAGAATTACAGCAATTACTTACGTCCTACTGAAAACAAATCAATTATCTGTTTAAATTGTAGTATTTTCTTTTATTGAAGACATTAGTCAGTATTTACTAATTTACTAAAAGCATTTTGCTTTAGTCCGCGTGGAATTAAAAAAAAACTTCGCTCTTTAAGACTATCTTCTACGTCTAAATCAAATTTTATCGATATCGGTTTAACCGTTTAAGCTCTAACAAACGTCCATCCATCCATCCATCCAAACTAAGCATTTATAATATTAGTAATAAGTAAGATTTAGATCGTTGTTTTATTCTTCGTTAACTTTTGCAAGACATGAAACATTTGCTAGGTTAGGCTAGTTGGGTCTTTAGGATGAAAGAAAATCTACCCTGTGTCAGGTTCCCATCGGCGAAAGTGCACCCTGAACCCGTCAGCGTATAAACGCGAGTAGAGCTCGGCGCGCGCCACTCGCGAACCGAGGCCGTAAGGTGCGCGCGCAATCCGTCAGCCGCAGCGCGTGCGTCGCGCACTACTGTAACCTGTGCGAAGTGTTTTTTAAATTTAGAATTCGTGATTAAAAAAATACAGCTTTTTAATTTTTCTACAGTGTTGAATGCCAGTATCTTTACGGTGAGATATTATTTTTAATCTTTAATTGGGAATATAAAAATAAAGTTATGGCTTTTTAACTGACTTCAAAAAGGAGGGTCTGAATTTGTCTCTTTGTTTTTTTTTTATGAAATGGTTTTAAGAGTTTGCAAAAACTCAATTTTATTTAACTTCGAGATACACCATCAGTTAGGGTTATAAAACAATTTTCCTGATTTCAATGGAAAATAATACACGCGTCTTTTAACCGCTTGTGGTTTTTTTTTTGTGGTTTCAAAATTTATAATCATAAAAACCGGGACTAAAAGCCTCAAATGCAAATTAAACACTTAATTTTATTACTTTATTAAAGTAAGAGATGTAGATTATTTAGAGCAGTATGTCGAGCACCCAAAAAAAATGTAATCGATTTTTTGTGCTTTCTTAATGAAAATATGATTTCAAATCGATTATTCTACATTCGTGAACGTTACCGTTTTGACGATAATCGATTAAGAAATCGTTTTACGCACGTTTCCGCGAAAGTGTCAGGCGATTATGGCTACGGACGTAGAAAGTGATAATTTTGGTGCATTGTTTCCGACTAATCTATTCCTGAACGACTTAAATATAGGTTTAATGAGTGGTTTACCAAATATAGAGTTGCGTGTAAGCAAGCTGCATGTTAACTAAAGTAAGCGCCGATACTCTAACATCGTAACTTATACGCTACTTTGTACAAAAACGGTCTGCGGAATACTATCATTTACTTCAAAGCATCATAGACTAAAAAAAATACATTTCGATAATTGTCAAATAGTGTATTTGAACCTCAAACTTTTTGGTTATCAGTACGAGCTCTGAACAATATACTGGCATGTTAAACTAGTAACAAACACACGGATGTTTAATTAAAAATTCCGTTGTAAAAAAACTTTTAATTGCAGTAAAAGCACCGCCAATTTAACAGAAATATTGATATTAATAAATTATTCTAATTGGCATAAATTCATTTTTCTTTAATTGAATAAATTTGTAATATTCAATATATAAAGCTTACTAGAATATTCGAATAATAATTATCTATCGTATACTGTAAAGTTTGATCGCTTGTATTGCATCATTAAAGGCTACTCTATCAAAGTATGTCCTGTTTCGAGAGCGAACTAATGTGCGATTTATACGCAGATCTCTATTGTATATCGTAGCCTATTAATACTTGTCCCTCTAGAAGTTATAGATTAACGGTAAGCATTTAAGAATGGTAATACTAGATAGCGCTTAAAGTTATGTCAGGATAAGCCTATTCAGAAATTTTCATTGCGAGGGATAGAATAATTTTCCATTTTTTTTTTTCATTAATATAATATAATACACGAATTGCAAAGTATTAGGTTTAGGTCGTGACTACGTCTGAGTGGAAAAAAAATCAAAAGTTAGTAGCCTTTGAGTTCTTTCAGACTATTCTCGACATCTATGCCAAATTTCTTCGAGATATGTACTCGTACGTTCAGCCGTTTAGTCTACAAACTGTAACATACATCTATCCATCGTAACTTTTGCATTCATAATATTAATAATTATTTTTTATGTCATGCATAACATATTCTTACACAAGTTCTTTCATACAAAACCGTGAAATTAAATTATGTACGCATTATGTAAATACACGGTTGTTAATAAGAAATTTTAAATTATGTCTTCGACACAGTTCATTTAAATAGTAAAAATATACGATATCATTCCAGTAATTAGCAAAATAAAATGTTAAAATTCCTTAACTTTAAAATCTTACTTTTTACTACTTAATATTATAAATGCGAAAGTTTGGATGGATGGATGGGTGGATGGATGGATAGATGGATGTTTGTTAGAGTTTGTAGCCTAAACGGCTGAAGGGATCTCGATGAAATTTGGCATAGATGTAGAGGATAGTCTGGAAGAAAATAGGCTACTTGCTTTTGTTTTTTTTTTATTCTGCGCGGACGGAGTCGCGGGCAAAATCTAGTCAATTATAATTTACTTGCTTTTGTCCGCATCGTGCGCTACCGCACAAAAAAAAGCAAAAAAAGTAAATATGCCTATGTCTTCTTCCAAAACGTCCTCTACATTAATGTCAAACATAAAAATCCGTTTACCCGTTTAGACTGAAAACTCTAACAATCATTCATCTAAACTTTCACATTTATAATATTACTAAGAAGTAAGATTATTTACGTTTTAAAAAGGAAACAATATTGAAGTATTTTCACGTATAAGGATTTGTCTTCACTGTGGCATCCGACCATAGTTTCCTAGACTCTTACAACCTATATTAGGAATCATTAATTCCTACTTTACTTAGTAAAGCATCGTATACTTGTTTTTACGATATGCCTGTACAATCGTGATTATAGCTAAGTTAGATGAGCACTATGTTTTCATGTTAATCTGAAAGTGAGCGTCGTAGTGTTATGTTTTTTTTTTTACTTTGTTCTTTATGCCAGCTACTATTTAACCTTATCTAGGAAATCATCTAGAGCAACGAATAGCAAGTAGGCCTATAATAATTACAGCCTATCTATAGACCTCTTTATCAACAATTTCCAGCCAGTTCTCTAGAGGAAAAAAATAAACCTCAAAACGTCTCTGTGACGTCATATGTTATTGGGTTCGAGGTGTACATATGTCCTGTTTGTTTTTAAAATTAAACAAATGCAAAGGATTTTAGTGTTTTCTCTCTTCTCTTTTATTTTTTCATTCAATAAGAATCTATAGACATAATGAAGGAGACGTTTTGTGCTGATTTGGTTTACTTTTAAAAAGTAAAAGTATAACAAATTGACATTTTATATGCTTTTACAATTCGCTATCTATTTATTGAGATAACAATAAATCTATTTTTTTATCGATTTCATAGTATTAATTTTTTTAAGACGAGACTAGACAAATAAAAAAAAATATTTTTAATTTCCTTTCGGATTAGTTCCTCGTTGAAAGTTTAATCATTTGAAAAGCAATTCCAGAAATTCTTTGACGTTTATGTAGTGCGGAACGGTTGAATTGGCTTAACTAGTTCCTAATGCAAAACGCAGGGGACTTTGACCTTTAAGTTATAGTGATAGAGGGCAAAGTTCTATAACAAGATAGTCTCACTAGTGTCGATGTTATTACTAAGTGTGAAGTGAGTACGTGATTGAATCTTCCAAGTCCGAGACATTATTAGAATACAATTTCAGTTTATTCGTATGATTCAATGTTGATGTACTTTCTTTTATAATACTTTGTAAGTGGACTTGGAGGAATAAGACATTGTAATAGAAGTTAGTGGATATTCATTGTTATGTTCATGATTTACATTTTTACTGTAATATCGCCTTTAACATACAAAACATTTTTTTTTATACTAGCTAATTTGACTTAGCAAAAATCCAATGCTGATGCAAAAATGTATTTATTTTCGTCAGATTAGTAATCTCTAAAATTATCAATTGGCCTACTATTTTATAATGTATCTATTATAATAAAATTTAAGTGTCTGTTTGTAATATCATAAGAAAAAATCCGGATTTCGGGAAGACGATGTATTTGCGTTGCTGATAACGACAAACAAAATACACTAAAAACAAAATATTCTCAAAAAAAACAGTACACTAAAAAGTAACGAAATAATTCATTGAAAATAGTAAACCTACCTTATTGTAACTGTTATGTCTATATTGTACAATTATTACTACTTTGATGTCGGTGTCAGCCAAGGTATGCAGTGATATTTCTACGTAAGGGTTCTCACATTTTTACCATAACAATTGACAATTGAAAGTATAGTAACAATTAAGCAATGAATCTACATTGACTGACACCAAAAAAAAAAAACATACAGACGAATTGAGTACCTTCTTCTTTGGGGAGTCGGTCAAAAAACGCATTTAAAAAACTTTTGTTTGCTTGTCTGTTCGCAAGCCGCGTTTGTTTCGGGTAATCTCCGCCCTGCTCTTGAATCAATCTGTATAAACTGCATCAAAAATCTAGTTTTAAAGATCTATCATACATAGGGAGAGACAGAGGGATGCTTTATTACTGGTAATCAATTTCTAAGTAAGGTATTTTTACAATAATATCCAAAAATAACTAATGACATATCCAAAAATATACTACGTCTTTATGCAGACAGCAGACATAGTTCACACGACTGATTGAATGAAAGTCGATATGTAATTGCCCCAAATCGTCCGGTGTGCGGCAAGCGGCGGCGACACCCGCAATAACGAATTACCAAAACCATCTGAATTATTCAAACACGCAATCTTAACGGATTGACTGTTATATCTTTATCTTGTACGAATGTAAAATAAATATTTAAATGTAAAAAGAACTTTTCTTCGACATTACGATTGGTTATCAACTTGACTTACTTTTTAGTCTTGGTTTTCCAAACATCATAATATTCATACTAATATTACAAATGCGAAAGTTTAGATGGATGGATATTTGTTAGAGTTTGTAGCCTAAACGGCTTTACTGATCTCGATGAAATTTGGCATAGATGTAGAGGATAGTCTGGAAGAGCACATAGACTACTTACTTTTGTTTTTTTATAATACCACGCGGACGGAATCGCGGGCGAAAGCTAGTTTAAATATAACTACAACGGATAAATTTATTATTGACTTCTCTTATTACGCAACGGAACGAAAAACTTATTTTTCATAAAAAATTCTGAAAATCAATTTTACGTTAGTAATTAACATTTTTTTTATGTTATCTGTTATTTTAAAAAAACGCATGCAATGTATCCTAATTTCAACCACCACACGGAAATCTTTAATCAGACTTGGATCATGAACGTTTTTTGTTCAATATAATCATGTTATTTCGTTATAAGTATCGTTAAAACACACGAATACTTTCACTGAGTAACTATAATGATCGACAATTGAAGTTTTAATGCGACATTTGACCGCTATAATATTCTACTGTTTGGATCACGCACGCTAGACTTAGACTGACCTCTACATAGATGGGCTATACGTGATATTGTACCGATTTTCACCATTTTGGCG